TAGGCCAAGTTAAAATAAATGCTGATTCTAATAATCACACAACTGATTGGCAAATCAAAAATCTTTCCTTACATTATGAAAAGACCTCTTACTCTAGATTGGTTCCCATCACAATTACTAGATCCACTTGGACCTGGGAGAACAGTTTTGGACACTCATACTGATCAGCTTCAGAAGTTCCAAACAGAATTGCCTCTTCCTGTTATGCACACTGGTTGCTTTGGGCCTTTGCTGTCCTATGATGGGACAGTACATCATGGCAGGGTTATGTGGTAGAAGAGGTGTGTTCATCTCAGGGCAGCCAGGAAGCAAAGAGAGAGGAAGAAAGGGACTGGGGTTTTGATCCCTTGCAAGGACACACCCCCATGGACCTAATGTTCTCCCACTGGACCCCACCTCCTAAATGCATCACTACCTCCTAATAGTGCCATGAACCAAGAGCCACGCCTTTGATACGTGACCCTTCGGGAGGCATCCAAGATTCACAACTATAGCAGTGCTGGTCAGTTTTTCATTACTACAACAAAATGAAAAGAATCTCTTTACCTCTTTGTTCTGGGAGTTTGAGAGCATGACAGAAGTGTCATCCTGGTTTGGGTGATAGCTCATAGTGGAAGTCATTACCATGCAAAAGACCACATGAGAAAGAGATCATTTCACCTAACAGGGAGTTAAAGTGCCCAAGGAATTCTTCGTTTATAGAAACCTCTTGCAAGAGCCAACTCAGGGCTGTGTTAGAGCTACCTTAATCCATGCCCAGAGGAACCCCAGTGGCCCAGTCCCCACTTGGCTCCACTTAACCGGTCTGCCTAAAGTGCCAGACCAGCAGTCCAGCTTTCTACATGCGAGCACTGAGAAAACACATCCAAACCTCATCAAACACGGTGCTACGCCCTGGCCCCTAAAGTTCATGTCCCTCTCATAGTGCAAAATGTCTTCATTCCATCCATATAGGTCCCAAATCTTAACTTATAGATACATCATTCAAAAGTCCAAGTCAAAAGTCTCATCTGAGACTCCAGGAAAAATCATTTAGCTATGAGGCCCTGTTTAAAGAGAAATTACATACTTGGAAGATGCAACAGAGAAAAAGGTACAGTGTGAACATTCCTGTTGCTACAGGGAGACGTGGGCGAGGAAAAATGAGTGATCGGTCTAAAGCAAGACCAAAATCCAGGAAGGTGCACATTACAGCTCAAGTCCAATGCCCTGCGCATGCTGCTGGGAGGAGTCGGCCCTCGAGAACACGGGAACCCCACCCTATGGCTTTGGGGACCACAGCTCACAGGATCACTCTTGAGGTGGCAGGGGGGCTTTGCATGCTTCTTGGCAGCACCTGCAGGTTGCTGGTTTCTTCACCTTTCTGGGTCCTCGCTGTGGCTCCCTCTCACAGCTCTGCTAAGCACTGCCCACTGGAGGCCTGCTGCAGGGCTCAGACCCACTAAGGAACTTCCCACTGATATTCCAGACCTTCTTGGATATCTTGACAAAAGCCAGCAAGCCCCCTGTAACTCTTACATTCCGTATATCTGCAGAACCAGGGCCCCAGGCAACACTAACGTCCACCATTGACAAGAGCATTTTCTGGAGTAGATTGAACTCTGACTAGCTGCAGAGCTTTTCCCCAGAAAATAAGTAGCATCTTATGCTGGCTCTTGGCAAGAAGTCTGCAGAGAGAGCCCTAGGTTTCTTTGAAATAATTCTGCCCTTTTAGACATCTGGGAATCTGATGGGAGAAGAAGCATTGCAAACTTGAGATACGCTCTGGGCTCTGTCCCTTTTCCCCTTGAAAAGTGACTGGGAACCTCTTCCTTCAGTGGAAAGTGAGGCCCAGCCACACTCCTGTGCACTTTTCTCTGGCCAGCCTTTGGATATCCAAATCTCCCACTTTTGTTTCCTTTTGTTCCCGCGTCTCACTGTAAATCTGACTCAAAATATACATAACAACCATGCTGTGTCTGGATACTTTTCTCTCAAGACATTTCTTCTGCCAAATAAACTAAACCATTATATTTGAACTTGACCTTCCATAGGTACATCCAAGTTCTTTGCGATAATGTAGCAAAGATGGCCTTTTTCAAAACTCCAATAGAATCCTTATTTCCATCTCCTCCTCTTAGTTCCCCAGTCTCCTCATCTTTTAAGGCCTCACAACACTCCTCTGACAGCATCCTAGGATTTTGCTGGCTGCTTCTCCAAATTCTTTTAATTTCTACCTGTTCCTTATTTCCAAAGCCTTGCCCACATGTTTCGTATACAGTACTAGCCCCGGCCCTACTTCTTGATACCAATTTTCTACATTTGTCCATGCTCTGTTGCTCACAGGACAGTGCCAAAGACTAGGTATAAAGAAAAAACTGTTTTAGCCCAAGATCTGATCCCAGGTTGAGGAGCTTCCTCTAACACTGGCCCTCTTACTGGCAGAGTCCCACAGCAGCTGCAGGTATTGTGTCAAGAAAGACAGAGAATATGAGCATGTATGTGTGTGGAGGCGTATAATCCCTCCTCTCTCCCTCCTCCTCCTCCTCCTTCTTCCTTTTCTTCTTTTTCTATCTCTCTGCCTCTCTTCTTCCCCCTTTCTCTGTGTCTCCTTCCCTTCCCTCCCTCCTTCTACCCTTTTACAGTCACCAGAATTCACCAGCACTCAGTAATGGGGGCTCCATATTGATGACCTCATCTAATCTTAATCACCTCCCAAGGCCTCAACTCTGAACAGTATAGTCAGATTAAATTTCTACCGTAATACCTCACCAGGGGGCTTAACCTCTAATATAAGCTTCAGAAAGGACAGAATGTATTCAAATCACAGCAATGTACCATCTGTGAGATAGGAATAACAATAATACCCACTTTATAAATATTCTGTGAGAATTTAGTAAGTTAATAAATCAAAAAGGCTCACAACTGTGCCTTTCACAATGCAGTCACCACGTCATTGTTATTGCCCTGGAACATGAATGTATTTAGAGATAGGGTCTTCAAAGAGGCACTTAAATCATAGGTTCATTCATATGATCAGTGTCCATTAATAGTAAGAAATTAAGACACAGACACTGAGGAAAGCCCACGTGAAGACAAAGAGAGAAGACAGACACTTACGAGTCATGGAGAAAAGGCCTCCAAAGAAACAGTCCCAGGACACCTTGATCTCAGATGTCTAGCCTCCAGAACTTTGAGAAACCAAATTTCTGCTGTTTAAACCATCTAGTCTGTGGCACATTTGTACGTCAGCCTCAGGAAACTGATGTAATTGAACTTTAAAAATTGAAATTTCTAAAAACAAACCAAAATAGTTGACATTCCTAATAAAATTTCTGGTTTGAGGGCTGTATTGAAAAGCTAAACATCTAGGAAAGAGGATTCCCCATAGCTACAAAGGATCATGGGATGGGAATTAAATAATAATCCCTCTTCAAAGAGGAAATTGATTGTTCGTGGGTCACAGAAACACTGTGCTCCATTTGCTCACATCCAGTCCTCTTCACACATTCATGTCATCCTCTCAGCCCCGTAGGTATTGAAGCCCTTAATCTGTGGTCTAGCAGTTCCTTTGGGTGATATTTTATACTAGTTATTCCTCCAAATTTAGTTGGCTAATCCCTGGCACAGGTTGAGATTCTGCTCTCACCCACAGAAAACCTTCCAAGGACAGGTGCCTATCATCAGTGACCTGCAGTTGTTCCTGAATAGTTCCCTCTGTAATTCTGCTTGTTGCTTCTCTACTGAGGAACCTGAACAGCATGCAAAAGACATAAGTGCAATTGTGAAGAGTGCTGTAAATATTAACAGTCAAATGCAAAAGTCCCAATCACATTGTATGTATATGTGTGCATGTGTGTGTGTTTGCATATTGTAAGCCCATATTCGATAATTACTTTCAGTGAGATAGAAAGTACTTTCAATTTTTTAGAGAAAAATGAGTAGCATGATGCCATATCCCTCATTTTCTTGTTCTGACTGGGAACTCATTCACTTTCTTTGTACAGCACACTGTTACCTCATTCATAGAAGCAACATGGTGTCTAATATACCCCTGGAAGGCCCTGTCCGGTGTGGCCAGCAGTGGAACTCTGCAGTAACCCTGTGTGAGCACCTGCTTGGAACCACCTCTTCTCCTGGGGTGCAGCAACCATTAGAAGTATGGTTCATCTCCGCTGCAAGCTGCTCAGAGAAGTACTGTGGGCTTTTTAATAACAAGCTATAAGCACTTGCAAGTCAAAGGGAGGGAGGGAGAAAAAGAAGCAGGCCTGAAGTTATTCCAATGGGCAAGGTCTAAAGTATTCAAAGGTTAATACTGCCTAATTAATGATAACACCAAATGGAGTCAAAAGCGTGAAGTCTGCAAATGCCTAATAATGAGGGCTAGATAGATACTCCCCACTTTCCATGTATGTTCATAAGTCTGGCTGCAAAATGTAATTGAGGTAAATGGGTTTCTCTACTTATTTCTTATTCTTATAGTTTCGTGCTGAGAGTATTTGGCTATTCAAATTTCTTACCTCAAAGAACCTCAATTAAATGTAGCAAATCTCACACCTGGTAATGTCACTGCCAGAATTCATGACACAGAAACCCTTGAAAGGCGTGTACAGGAGGAGGGGGCCTCAGCCATGCCATACACTGTGCACACATTAATCTCTTTGCAGTTAGATCCGACGGGGTCTGTTGGGGTGGAGCGGGGGTTGTTTTCAACTCCTCACGCTTGTGAAAGCTAGAGCGTGCTATTCATCTTCTTTTTGAACTCCAAATCATTTTTTGAGTACCATGACCTTTTAATGAAAACAGCCAACAAGATAGCATCTGGAAAAGAAAGGCAGATTTTAGGAACAAGGAATTTTTTTCCTTGTGCTTTGTTTCCTGGTCTTGAATTAATCACAGCTGTCTTTCACTAGCAAAGGTTATTTTTATCTACCATGGTTTAAATTAAAAACAACAACAACCAAGGGAACAATCTGATGTTCTTGGAGCCCCATCACCCTTCCACAGAAGACAGAGTGCATTCTGTCCATGCAGCTAAGAATGCAGCTTCTAATTCCCTCTTCCTTGTGTTTACATGAACTTTCCTTTGCATTTCAGAAGCCTTATGGAAAGATTCCTGTGGCTGACCCAGGAGTAGTGGTGAATTTCTCCATCAAGTGAGTATTGATGAGCTGCAAAGTTCAGTGAACAGGAAAATTCTGCTCCTTTTATTGCCAATGTGACAGGTTACTTTATTACCATGCCTTTCACAGCAATTTAGCAGTTACCCTGGTAACGGATTCAGTGAGGTAATGGGATCACAGGCATTAGAGCAGAGGCAGGCTGGCCGCTCAAGCAGCCATCTGCTGGCTGCCTCTCCAAGACGGTGCTGGGAGGTGCCCGACAGCCACGGGGCCTGCATGGCAATGAGCAGGTGAAACCGCAGGCCGGCCCCGTGTAGCCGCACTCGGGTGATTTGTCTTTCTAATTCTATTGAAATAATAATCAGGATTTGTTTCTGATTAATTAACTAACCTTTTGGTAAAAAGATTAGATAACGAAATTGCTGCCTATTCAGAGATAATGAGATTTTTATTACTCTGTCAAAAGAAAAAAGTACATTTATGTGTCACCCGGCACTGTGTCAAGAGGAGAAAAAAAAAGATTTAAGTCTTTGTCAGATGCGTATATTCCTCACCAGATAAGGGTACACTTAATTCTGCAGGAACTCCCCGGTCTTGTTGTAAGCCATTAGAAGGAGTTTTAAAAACAGCAAACAAAGTAATAAACACATTTAGGCCAATAGGCTTTGGGGGAGGGTGCTAATTTGTTTTAAAATGTCTCCTAATGGAAGAGAAACGCCCGGGAGTCTGGGGAGCTGGCCCGCACCGCGTGGGTGTATTTATGCAAGTGCGAGAGTGTGAAGAAAGCAGTAAAATCTCCGCGCGAGGCTCTAACGTGACATATGTAGACAGGCTGCTTCCCCCACTATGGAGCCGTCTTCCGCGCCCGGTACATCTGTTCGGGCGGGAGCTGCACTCCGGCAGCGGGAAGGGAGAGTCACCAGAGCTCGGCCGGCTGGAGGTCACCTGTGACTGCACAGGTAGCTGCCCCGGGAAACAGATTCCTCCAACTGGCGGAGGGCGAAGGAAGAGGTCCTGCTCCAGTCTCTCTGCAAGACGCAGCCGATGGATTTAACCTTTTCTCTTAAAAAGTCACAGCTCAGCCCTTTGTTGGGGCGGGGCGGTGGGGGGGGTGTGCAGGACTTTCATTTCCTCATTCCTCTGCGCTTCCTCAGGGTTGTAATACCAAAACAGTAACAACAACAACAAAAGATATCGGCCTCAGTGGGGAAAAGCACTTCCCTTGGATAAAGATGCCAAACCAGACAAACAGGCTGTGTGCGCCAGGCAGCCTTGCAGGGAACAAAGCGTGTGTATTTCCAAAGAAAATTTCACAGAGCTCCAATATTGTTTTAATTACTACAACCTGAGGAGGAAACACAGGACGCGTCTCTTCCTGCGCTGCAATAAAACGGCGGAGCGGGGAGGGCTGAGGGAGGGCCAGGACCCAGCTGAGCACTTTGTTCCAGCGCATTTGTGTCACTGCCTTTTCAGAGTCGACGAGACACTTCTGTTTCTGGTGACATCCTGTGGCCTTGGCTGCCTCGGTTGGTGTGTATACGAACATGAAAAGAGTTCAAGTTCTAAAAATGGAAGTTTCTGTTCTGACTTTCACATGGTTCACAGACAAGTTGAAACAGACCAAGAAAAAACTGCAAAGAGGATCAGATGTGAACATTCCAGGGCCCGCTTCCCTGTCCTGGGGTTCTTACTCTCCGTTCCCTTTTTATTCTCACTCCCTCCTGTACCTTCAATTGCCGGCTAACAAGCTCCATTTCTGATAACAGATGCCTGACAAAGAAAGAGAAATAAGACATTAAAAAAAGAGGGAGGCTGGTGCGGGGGTGGGGACTGCTGAGTTCACTGCCAACAGCGCTTTACGGGAACGTGCTCGCCTTGGCTCTGCACCAACGCAAGGGAAAGAACAGGGCGGGGGCGAGGCGCCTTTGTCTTCAAACTCCTGATGAAATATAGGGTTAATATTAGCGATTATTATTAAAATTAGCCAAATGTTATTAAATGATCTTTGTATAGAAGAATAAGTATAGTTTTCCCTTTGGCAGACAATGACATCTGCAGCTCTACATTTTCACGAAATGACTATACTTAACAAAAACATTACTTCATTTTCATGGTATTTCTTTTGTGCCTAGGAGCAACCCTGTAATTGTTCACTTCAATTACAACATTACTATTTTAAACTGAAACCCATTTTATCTGCATGCCAGCTTTTTATTTGTTTTACCAACTATATCTATTTCCATTACTGCAAGGCTGATGGTTTGTCTCAAGAGGAAATCAAATCCATTAATTCAGAAATTTCAAGCCCGACTAGCTCTGCCATAAGCAGCATTTCTTATGCTAATAGCAAATGTGCTGAGACTGAAAGGAACTGACATGGCCCTGTTTTTTATCATAACTTAAGCATTTATGTAAGAAGGCAAATCTAATAGTACTAGGAAACTGTAAGTGTTATTACATATAATTCACTTTCCCGAGATCTGGACGGGGCTCTGGTTTGTGTAGCCCTGCTTTAAATCAGGCTGCCAGGAGACTTGAACTCACCTGACTTTGCCTATTTATCCCACATATTGCTTCACAGCAGATACATCTGGCATCAAACTAGATCTGTGTGTATATGTACGTGTGTGCTTTATTTTCAACATTTCCTCCTCCCCCCGAAAGATAGACCTTTGTCAGTGTAGAGGAGTAGAACTCATTTTGTATTGAAGTGATGTCTGAACCTTGTCCCTGTATCAGCATTAGCATGAGACAGACCTGGCCCCTTCTGTTTCATTTTTAATACACTCTGTTTGGGTCTGAGCACATGGCGTGTGTTCAATTAGATAGCCTGACTCCATAAAATCTGACTCTAACCTAGAAAGAAAGAGAGGGACTGCTCCTGACACCTGCGTAAGCTTGTGCAGGCACTGTGACCCGTTTATGTCAGTGGCAAAGTGTGAGAGATTCCTATCACAGAACCACATCATCTTCTGGGATCTAAAAAATACAGAAAGCGCTCAAGAACCCTGGCCCTCCTTTGTCCCGGCAAAGCCCTTCAGGGCTGTAAATCAGTCCTCATTGGGAGCGCTCAGGCCTCAGCCGTCACCGGTAAGCTTTGGAGAAGCAGACAAGGCTTTTACGAATTGCTGAACCATGAAGCCCTGCTTAGGGTTCTGTTGTAAGCTATTAAACCCAGGATGGCCCTTTCAAGATGATTCCACTTTCTTTTCTCCTTGGCCTGGTTAAGCAAGTCTACCCTCAGCTCATTATTTGGCTGATTAAAAAAAATCAGAATGGAGCAACCTGCTGTTTAAGAATACCACCTTCACACATCAACTTAATGAGTGACTTACACTGACATAGTTTATGGGGCTCAAGCAACTTGACACTAATTTTGCAGCTAAGAAAAGATTTACTAACTGTACACACTGCTCTGCTTTTGTTGGCATGGGCACCATGATTCCTTTCTCCAAAAACAAACTCTAAATCTTTTGTAAACACGCATTATTTGGTTAACACATTGTAAACGGGTCCCAGTTGTGCCGCACAAGCGCTCTCACTATTATGTAAACCATTATTCACTGAAAGGCTTGCTTTAAATTGTAAATGAATATATTTCAGCTGTAATGTTGCTCTCAGACCTGCCCAGTGGTATAAATCTGGTCATTTGTTTTTTTGCACTCTGCCTATTACTAACCAGTTAGAAATGTGCTGATTATTTGCACAAGCCTTTCACACTGTGGGCACAGTTAAATTGCCGTTTTATTTTTCCTGTGTTTGATGAGTGTTAACAAGAGCACCATTTGAGGAAACCCAAACCAAATACAGCTCTTTAATTGAGATTGGGGGTGTTTGGGAAAAGCCACCTGGTGTGCAATTCCACTGTTTAATGTTTGATAGTTCATCCACCTCACCATAGGACTTTGGACAAGATTAATTAAAGGGAGTTGATAAAAATTCAGGGCCTTGCTCAGCCAACCTGAATAGTTTGAAGTATGGTACATCCAGTCATCTGAAAGTGAATCCTTTGCTAAAGTAATTTCCAAGTACCTTTTCTGCCATTCCCAAACAACTCCACTGTGGGATTAAGTAGCTTTACATTTAGTATCCCTCAAAGAAAGCTCGATTTGGAGGAGAAGATCATAGAGTGATCTCATTGGTCCCTTGACTTCTCTTCTTTGTAAGGTTATATGTGCTGGCTGATGAAAGTTCAGCCAACTCAGATAACCTTGTCTTTTTTCCTTCACCTCAGCAGCCAATTACTCATTTCTAAAGTTTCCCTACTTCCTATAGTTAAATAGCATTTTACTGATGTACTGATCAACAAAGCTTTGGAAACAGAAATATTGTGACCTCAGATGATCTCATTGGTATGAATGAGAGAGCAAGTGCTGTAACTCTATCTGGCTTCATTGATAAAACTACAGAACTGTGTGTGCAGAGACTTAGATACTGCTGACCCTAGATCAAGCCCAGGATAATGGAAAAGGCCCTAGATTCTAGCCCTGGATTTGTCCCTTCCTTTGGTCATTCATTTAACCTCTGCGTGCCTTATCTATGATGCAGCAGGTTTTGGCAACATGACCATTACTGTTCCTTCTGAAACTAAAATTCTGGTATGCCTGTGGCGCAGAATTCTAGCTGCCCTTTGTATCCATGATTCAATACAAAAAAGAAATTCGGTAGTCAAAATTTAGGTATTCAGTAACCAAAAATATGAGGTTTTTAATTTTCATATTGAATATTATTTTTAAATAGATGCTAATCTTTTTCTTTTAGTACACAGATCATTTTTCTATTTTATTGGTACATGTTAGATATACATAGTAATAACATCTATCACAGGGAATTTGTACCTGTACATGTCTTGCTTCTTTTTTTTCCCATTCTCTTCCCCTCTTTCACCCCCCTTCACTTCCTTATTTAAGAAAAGCTTTGCTTCCATTTTTTCCTCCTATTTTCTTTTTTTTTTCTTATCCCTTCCTTCCTTTCCCTCTCCTTTCTTCCCTGTTCCCTTTCTCATTTAAACATTTTCTTCCCATTTCCCATTA